TGTGTCCCAGCAGGGATCCCTGTGGCTCTCCCATCCCGTGTTTGGACACGAGGAAGGCCAGCATCCTGCTCATCCATGAGATCTCACATGAGTTTGTGTCCCAGCAGGGATCCCTGTGGCTCATCCATGAGATCTTACATGGCTCTGTGTCCCAACAGGGATCCCTGTGGCTCTCCCATCCCGTGTTTGGACACGAGGAAGGCCAGGCCAGCATCCTGCTCATCCATGAGATCTCACATGACTCTCTGTCCCAGCAGAGATCCCTGTGGCTCTCCCATCCCGTGTTTGGACACGAGGAAGGCCAGCATCCTGCTCATCCGCAAGATCTTCGTGCTGATGCAGAACCTGAGCCCGCTGCCCAGCGACGTCTGCCTCACCATGAAGCTGCTCTACTACGACGAGGGTACCCTGCCCCCTTCCCTGCTCCCCCAGAACCCACGGGAATACTGGGAAATTCCCGTTCCCTGCCACCTGGGAAATGGTGTTATTTCTCTTTCTCCCATCCAAGCTCCGAGGGGAAGGGGGGTGATCTCGCTGCAGGAGCACAATCCTGGCCCTGCCTTCCTGGGAGCAGGGATCTTGGGGTGCTTCCAGGGGTTCCCCCCAGTGCCTTGGGCTGTCACACGCTTTGCCAGCCCAGTTCTAGTTTGGTGACTCTCCAAACCTCTGGCCCTGCTTTCAAAGTGTTTTTTCCTTATCATTTTATATCTCCAACCTCTCTCAAACACCTTCGCCTGCTCAGTGCAGAGAAAAGAGCTTCAGTGTTGATTACTCCCCTCCCCACACACACATTTTCTTCTTGTATTTAAAGGAGTGAGGAGTTTTGCTGTCACCTTTCCAAGGCTGTGTTTCATTGTGACCCCTTCCCTGCCCTCCCCCCTGCAGTGACACCCCCCGATTACCAACCCCCGGGCTTCAGGGAGGCCAAGTGTGAGGGGCTGGTGTTCAACGAGGAGCCCACCCACCTCAACGTGGGTGAGGTGCCCACCCCCTTCCACCTGCTCAAACTCAAGATCACCACGGAGAAGCAGCGCATGGAACACGTGGACAGAGGCATCCTGGGGCAGGGAAGGAGGGAGGAGTCCCTCCAGCCGGGAGAAGAGATCCCGGACGTGAATGTAAGAGCACAGAGTTTTTTGTGGAGCTTGTTGAGGCTTTTTGGGCTGTAACATCCAGAAAAAAGCCGTTATTGTCTCACCAGGGTATTAACAAAACCCCTCTGCTTCCAGATGTGTTTAAGCAGGACGATATTTATAAATAATTCAGGACGTTTTTGCCTTGGTTTTCCTGCTCCACTTTGCAGCCTGTCACTGCTCACCAGGTGCTGAGCAGCAGAGGGGTGGCTGAAACCTCTCCCTCCCCATCCCAACCCGTTATTTCACTGCACTTTGTTCCACCCCAAATCCTTCCAACGAGTCTGAGGAGAAACCCCCTTCCTTCTGTGCCTGTTTCCTAATCCAGGAGGAGCCTGCCCCGGATACCAAAGTGGGGGATGAGAACCACGAGGATGTTTCAGAAGCTCAAGGTAACATTCAGGGTATTTTTCAAGTCTCTGAGTTGCCTTTTTCCTGGGACAAACCCCTCAGCTGTCTCTCTCTTCACATCTCCATTATTTTCTTCACCCTGGAGAGGGAATTTCTGCTGGTTGATCTGCTCCTCCTGGAGAGCCCGTGCAGAGACACCCCGACAACCCTGGAGCTCCTTTCAGAAAGGATTTCAAATGTTGGCTTTGGGGTTTGGGGGGTTTTTTTGGTGCAGCTTTGCCAGAGCAGCTCCCATTTCCATGCTGTTCCCAAATAACCATGGAAGTGTGGAGCAAACAGCACGTGGAGGCCAGGATTGTCATCTTGCTGCAGAACTGGAATAACCACATCCAGCTGCTTTTAAAAAGCCATCAAAGTTCCCAAACTATCCCAAAATGCAGCTTTTTGTCTGAGGGAGCTGGTAAATGTTTTATTTATGGGGACTGTGAGGCCCAGGGAAACCCTGAAATCCTGGTGTTGTTTCCACAGCTGATGCACAGCCTTCCTCGACCATTCCAGGCTTTTACCTGGATCCTGGGGGGGGAAAAAAAGGCAGCAGGAATTAGAAACAGCAACAAAAGTGTCTGGAACTGGCTGTTCCTCCCTGGGGGGCTGTTCCTGTTCCAGCTGCTGGCACTGGCAGGGAATCTTGGGATCAAATCCCACTGGAGATGAGCCTCTGGCTCCCAGTGTGGGAAGGAGCTGGGAATCAATCCCGGTTTTCCAAAGGTCCTGTGTGTAAACTTGGCACCTGTGGCTGGAAGCTGGGACAGGAAATGGTTGAATTTCAGATTAAATTTAATCCTGGCTGGAGTTTGGGACAGGAAATGGCTGAATTTCAGGTTAAATTTAATCCTTGCTGGAGTTTGGGACTTGCTGCCCCTTCCCTGGAGCCCTCTGGAATCGCCTGTTCCCGGAGTTTTCCGTGTTCCCTGGGGCAGGGCTGG